AGTAGAGAACAAAACAAATATTGTCCTTGATCTCATATATTCAGTGATCTAGGATGGAGTTAGGAGGTAAACTAGTAAACAGATTTGGATGTGGAAATTCCAAAAGGTAATAGGAGACATGGTGGGAGAAAGTATAATGGATGTGGAGAGGGACCTACTGGATGAGAAACAGACAATGTGAGGAGTATGAGGCTTCCACCCAGCAGGTCAGAATGCTGACATGGGGATAATGGCATGACTCGGGTGTTAGGTCCACGCCAAGAGGAGCCAGACCAAGAGACATCTTGAGAGTTTAAGAAATTTTTATTATATTTTCTCACAGTGAGCTGAGACCAGTATATTGGTGTCAGCATCGAGTGGGTGTTTATGTTCTCTTATATAGGGACTGGGTCAGGGTTGCACCAGCCAGCTGGGGTAGCTGCCTGAACAACAGCATGACCTTGGAAGGTAACAAGGTATCTGATGGGCGCACAACTGGGTGAGACAGAGGGGAACGAGCGCCTGGGTTGGTTGGGGAGTGTACCTTAAATTCTGCAAGTGAAGGCCATTTGCTTGAAGCTAGAAGAACGTTTGTAACAACATATTTATGAAAGCATGTCCAAACAGCAGAGTTCAGGGGTAATACATGCTAACATAGAGGAAAGCAAGAAGAATTAGAGCAATAGGTAAGAGCCAGAGCATATGGTCCCTATAGGCCATCTATAATAATAAAAATGTGATATGCTAATTGGACCGGAAAGCAGAATGACCTTCCAGACAAAGCCGGGGCTGCGAGGGCTGAGCCCCTTGCACGAATTTCGTGCATCGGGCCTCTAGTGATAAATATTTTAAAAATTTTCTGAGTGCACTTAAAAGACATTAGAAGTATCAAGCAAGGGAGTGACTGGATGAAATTTAGGGAAAATTTTACCTTGTCTGCTGAGAAGGGATAAGCACGGGAGTAGAAAGCCCAGGTGGGAGTAGAAAGTCCAAGTAAGAGTCTATTGCAGTGGTTGAGCTAACATAGGATCGCTAAACGAAGGGGCTCTCAGACTTCAGCATGGGCCCAGTCACCTGGAGGGCTCATAAACACACAGCTGGCCTCACCCCAGAGGGTCTGATTCAGAAGGTCTGGGCGTGGGAAGAGGCTGAAATATTTGCCTTGCTATAGAGCTCTGTGTCATGCTGATGGCACTTTGGTTGTGAGTAGGAAGGGAAAATTTTTTTTAAATATATTTTATTGATTTTTTACAGAGAGGAAGGGACAGGAATAGAGAGTCAGAAACATCAATGAGAGAGAAACATCGATCAGCTGCCTCCTGCACACTCCCTATTGGGGATGTGCCTGCAACCAAGGTACATGCCCTTGACCAGAATCGAACCCGGGACCCTTCAGTCCACAGGCTGACACTCTATCCACTGAGCCAAACTGGTGCTGGCGGGAAGGGTATAATTAAGACTCCCAATTTAGTGTTCTTAAATATGTGAGACAAGATGAAATGGATATAAGTTTGTAACTCAGAAGAGTTTTGCATTAGTTATTTTTTTTTAATGAAATTGTTAACCTATAAAGTCTTTAAATCCAATAGAGAGAGAACAACAAAGAACCCAAGGCCTTGAAAACCTCATAGAAAATGATACAACTTCATTCCAACTATTCTAAATGCCACCCAATTAAAAATATTGTGTTTAAGATGTCTGGAACATCGAGATGACCACCTAGGTGGGATTTGGCTTTTGCGTATGGAAGCTAGGTCTGGGATATATGCTTGAGTTGGCATTCAGAGGGAACATGTTTTCTAATTTGTCATGCTGACAGTGGTATATTAGGAAAAGCAGGCAGGACACCTGAATCCTCAGGTAAATCCAGTAGTTTATGCTCAGTGTTGTATGGAACTCAAAGGCATGAATGGCTGAGC